GGTTGGGGGTTTGGGGTGGCTTTTGTTGAGGGCTGTGGTGGAAGCGTAGCGTGAAGGGTTCAGCGGCTGGTTGAGAAGTGAAATAAATTAAGTCGTTTTGGGGGTGGGTGCAGGATGAGGGCGGAGGATGAACAACCCTTTTCTACATAGCGTGCAAAGTCGCGAATGCTATTCCTTACCACGGCTTGAAAAAAGCACGCCCAACCCGATAGCTGTGCTTCAGTATACCCGCCCCAAACCTTATGCTAGCATTCAGGTCTATATTGCTAAAGACCTTCGCTTGGGCTTCGGGGATATGGCTCGGAAATTTAAGTCGATCATGGTTGCCCTTGAGGGTTTTTACAGGCTTAGATGTTTAGGGGTACGCTTGCAGTCGCGATAGGCCTGGATGCAAAAGGGCTTCCGCTGCGCAGAGATTACTGTGGGGCCTTAATAATTGCCTATCCTATTTTCGGGGTTCCTTATTATAACTATCGTATAATGGGCCCCAAAGTCTTATTGCAATTATTAAGGCTCCTATATTATAGTACCCTTATAGATCCCTTATAGTATTCGTAGCCCTTATAGACCCCTTTATAAAGGAACCCTATTCTAATTATTAAGGCCCCTATGTTTTGGGAGCAAGGGAAGTTTGCCTTTCGAGAAAAGCTGATCGCAATTGTGCATGCATTCGACAAGCGGGCTGGCGACAGAAAAGGCTTCCAAAGCTGTAATGTAGGGGGCTAAGCAATTAGACGAGGGTTCCTTTGAAGGGTATCATAAAGGTTCTTTCAAGGGTTACGACGGTTACGATAAGGATGTGCTATAAGGGTCTTCGGTCTTGGAAATTAGAATAGGGTCTTGGGGCCCATGATACTATAACTATAGTAAGGACCCACCAAAAAATAATGTTGGCAATTATTTCGGCCCCTTTTGTACACCTCAAAGCTTATTGAGCCGACGGCCTGCTTACTCTACAGCCAGCTTACTATATACATCCCGAGTCTCTTTGTCCCTTGTTAGAGTTGTGGCCGTTGGGGAGGCATCGCCCTTAAACATAGGTTGTTCTGGATGTTTGACAACATATAGGACCCTAGGTTCAGTCGTACTTCCCTAGCGTCATCTGATAAGATTAGGCCCGAAAGCCTTAAGCCTAAAGCTTGGGCTCCGTACCTCCCGTTGGATTGCATTCGGGCTCGGCTGGTTTGGTTACCATTCTGTACCGGGTTCGAGAGTCCGACGAGTTCGCAAGGAGGGCTCCGGACAGCAAAGTTTGTTTGGCAATGCAGCCTGGGGGACAACGTTTACCGTTCAACTTTGCACCTTGTTGGTTGTTCCTTCGCTTGCTTGAATCGACGTCTACTAGCAGACAGTTGTACTGACACTGACTATTTAGAATCAAATATAGGGGCTTAAAAAATTACCTATACTACTTTGGGGGTTCCTGATTATAAGTATAGTATGATGGGCCCCGAAACCCTATTCTAATTATTGCGGCCTTTTTTCTTAAGGCAGTTCTTCGGTTGGTGATTTAGGGCTAGCTGTGCAAAGAAGAGTTTGCAGAGGCCCTCGAGACGCAGTATCCACAGTACTTGAAGGATCATGGGACTTAGTAACTAGGGTTATAGTTAAGGTAACTATACTTATAATTACTTATAACCCCAATTAAGGTGCTTATAACCTAACTTACTAAGTCCCCTGATCCTCCAAGTAGTTCCGGAGGGTTGCAGGCGTAGCTCTGCCTGATATTGCTTAGGTACGGCCCCTATACAGTAAGAGTCTATAATAGGGCTGCTATTAAGCTCCTTATATATCTATATTATGAATATTATTCAGCTATTACTGAACGGGGGCCGTACCCAAGATATTGCTCGATTCTCTTTCTTGCGTGTCTGCTACAGCTGCACTCCAACCCCCATGCCGACATCTGTAGCCGACGGTTTAAACCGAAACACCGCATCTTCCTTGTCCGAGTTGCGAGCGCCCAAGGCCTAGGCCACGAACAGATCCCCAGTAGGTGTGGGCAGCAGGCTTATAGGGCTTTCCGGCATACCACGGCCTGGCGGCAGTGGCCAAGAGAAATAATATGACGGAATAAGGTTTCCACGCGGGTACCACACTGAAGTACTTCGAACCAGAGACCTCGTCTGACAAGTCCGAGTTGCGAGAGCGTAAACCCGAAACCTCTGAACCCCGAAACCTCTAAACCCCTAAAGGCCCTAAACCCTAAACCCTTCAACCCTAAACTGTGCATAAACCCCTAAATCCTAAACCTCTAAACCCTTAAACCCCAAAGTATACATAAACCCCTAAACCCTCAATCCTAAACCCCTGAACCCTAAACCCTTCAACCCTAAACTGTGCATAAACCCCTAAACCCGACACTTCTTAACCCCTGAACCCTAAACCCTTAAGCCTTAAACTGTGCGTAACCCTAAGCCCTTAAGCCCTAAACTGTGCAAAAACCCTTAAATCCTCAACCCCTAAACCCCTGAACCCTTTCTGCACCTTTCTGGGGACAGTGCTGCTCGGCAGTAACGGCAGAACGGCACTCAACCCCTGAACCCTAAACAAGCATGGGCGATCAACTGGGCCCAGGTCTTCCCCGTCGACTGCAGCGGTGTGGAGCTGGCGCTTTGCCTCGGACCGGATAGGAAGATGGGGCTGGTTTAGGGTGTATGGTTTTGGATTTAGGGTGTTGGATTTAGGGTTCAGGGTTCTGGGTTTAGGGTTTTGGGTTTAGGCGGTGGTTTCCCTTCTTCAGGTCTTTTGGGTGGCTGTAAATTATCATAACTAGGCACCGTATCATATGATATGGAGCAGCTGACGTCTTCGGAAGTCATGTCAGTCAGAGTCCATATTGGCTCGTGATGCTGGCCAGCTTGAAACCCGAAGACCCACATCGAAACTTTGGACTCAGAGTTTAGCTGGCACCTGTCTATGGCACAGGACAACAGACTTCGAAGCGAGGGCGCAGTGGTTCATGTGGGCTACTGTGTTCTTCGATTTTGCTGTGGAGTTGTAGTATAGACATAGAACGCACATATCATGCAGTATCTGAGGGTCGAGTGTTGTGGCTTGTGTTTGTGGGTCTTTGGGCTGGGGTGTATGCACCAAAGAAGTTCAGAGAGTTTCAACCAGGTTAAGACTCTTGTGATTCCAGCATGCAATGACTTCAGTTGACTCTAAAAACCCAGCTCTACAACCTCAAAATCTAAAGCCTAGACTCTACGACCCTTACTCCTGGACCTTTACAGTAAATCCAATCTCTTTGGAAGTGACGGAGCCTTGCAAGAACCCTAAGACCCAACCGTAGAATTGCCGGGGTGCGGCGGAATGCTGAGTCGCGGGTTATAGTTTCAGCTTCTTTGCAACACGGCCTGAATGCTGACTCAGGCAATCTCTCTAGGGATTACACCTTCCGAATTCTCCTGTAGTCTCCTTAGGAGTTGCTTTTATTTTTATTCATATAAAACCCAAGAGAAGATTAAACATATTATTTATTGTGGTTCTAAGGGAGGTATAGTCTCTACCCTGCACCCCCACCATGTCCGTTGCCAAGGAGCTCCTGTCACCCGAGAAGCCCAATGCCTTCGGCGTTCACAAAATGCCGGGGGCCTACGGCCTACTTGAAGGATCATGGGACAAGTCCAAAATCCTAAATCACAGGTAAGTCGAAAGCCTCAACGTCGCTTTATGAGGTTTCAGGTCGAGGGACTCTTCCGTGTAATTGCCGGGTAAGGCTTCATGCAACACTAACTTAAAGGGGTTTGAAGCTCTAGCAATAATGACGCACCGCACACTCTGATAGTTTCTGTAACTTTCATTATGATAGGGTTCAGTTTTGACATGTGCCCTGCCAGCAGGCCGGTGAAAGTGGCATTCAGGTTCATCCTTTCGCTGCATGTAATCGCTTTCCTTGTCCAGAGTCCTCCACAAGAGCACTTCCGGTGCGTATCAAAACGCCCAGCAGCTCGAACAACCTTCAGTCGCAAGCTCTATCCCGGTTATGAGCACCTATAAACTCCTTTAGCTATATGTGGGAGCCAAAAAAGGAATCATAAAAGACCAACCCTTATAGCTACTATGAACCCTACACCCGGGGTGCTGAGGTGTTGGCTGAGCCGCAACCATCCGGACTTCAAGGACAAGGCCCGCACACGATGGCCACTACTCCGAGCGATGCGCCTTGGCTTCGCTCCAGACGACTTGAAGAGTACCCAGAGATCCCAATATAGCCCTTATAAACGGAATATATATATATATATATATACACACCTTAAATCGCAGCAATGCCCCTGTAATTTCAGGTATATTCGTTAATTTCAGGGGTATTGGGATCTCTGGGTACGTAGTGTTATCAGTTCTTCGACTGGGGTCTGTGCATCGCGGATCATCGCGGCTAGAGTTGCCCTACGAATAGCTGTTGTGATCCTCAGGTCTAGCCTCAGCGCTTGACTTGAATTCTCAGGAGAAGCATTACTTGATCACAGTCTCAAGATGAGCACAAAGCGCAATATCGATTGTCATGATGGCAACAGATGGCCGGAACGAATGCTCCAGCAAGATTCACAAACACACGACCGCCACTGAAACCGCCAATAGCATGGATGCCGATCTCGTCACAGAGCCTTGCCGCCGACGTCTTTCATGCGTCGCGGCGAGACACAGTCGGAGTTGCTGTGTGGTGCTTGCGCCGATCAGAGCTCAAACGGTTTGGGGTTTACGGTTCATCTGCTAGCACGTCCCTTCATGGTCGGAGGGTGCACAGACAGAATTCGTGACCTTTCGCTTGCGTGCGCAGCTACAGAGGCGGAAGCATGCACAGGTACGCAGCCTAACACCGACACAGAGACACTCAGCCACATGCGCACACTTACTTACACCAACTGTTTGATCGCTAGCTTCCTTCCGTCCTTCCCTAAACCTGCGTAGGCGATCCCTTTGTTACAGTGTTGTCGGTGGCCCCATGCAGATTGAATTCACTCCGAGCCACCCTCCGGGCCTTTGTCGAGTTTGAGATGCACACGCCATGTCCGATCGACACTGAGAACACATCGTCCTCAAGCTCCCGCAAAGGCAGCCCGTCGCCACAGAAGTTGGGCGGCAGCCGCTTCAATGTGGACGAGTCGGAGATACGCCTGCCAGATGCGCTCGACACTGCCCCCAAGAAGAAGAGGAAGAAGAAGAAAAAGCCAAAGAAGCACAAGAAAAGGAGCAAACCCCCGGAACCTGGCTTCGAGCTGCTGAAGAACCCGGGCGACGCAAAGAGTACCGTGATTGGCTTCATGCAGTCCCGCCCTGAGTTGGATGCGTGTACACTTGTTTTGCCCACGACTGATGTGGGCTGCCTACTCAACTGATGCTGACCAAACCAACACGGAGTTGTTGGCAAACAGGGTCTCAAAAGTTTTGATTGCATGTGTTTGGAGGCACAGGCTAACGGTGAACATGGAAGCCTGCTCTTGATTGGAGTTCCCCAATCCCGCGAGTATCTGTCAACGTCACCTCGGGCAGAATCCTGCACGGCATTCGGATGCTCCCTACAGTGCCCCTCAAACTGCTTTGTCACATAATTCACAGTCTTTTGGAATGCTCTCGGTTTTGTTGGGCCTAGTTCGCAAACTGCCGATGTCCCCTATTGCAGGAAAATGAATGTAGAGGGCAAGAACGAAAGCAAGGACAAAGCAGCATGTAACCCCACAAAGAAAGAGACTGAGAGAGGACAGGGTCGAAACATAATACGAGCCTTTGCGAGGCGAGATCGGGTTTGTATTCTCATCAAAGAATACATCAAGGAACTGAGCTCTTTATAAGAATTCTCAGCCGGAGGGAAGCAAACAAGAAAGCGAGGAAGAAAGAGCGGGAGAAGTACTCGCGTGAAGATAGGCACAAAGAGCGGTGAGTGCACGTGACCGAGGCGATAGCATAACTTGCGACGAGGTGAACACTCCATACCTAGGTGAGAACGCCCTTTCGATCCAACCTTGCATCCCGCCTAGCCAATTGCAGCCACGGATTTGTATTGCAGCTTGAAAGCGAGTCTAGCCTAATGATTACTATCTGTGGGCCCACGAGTCCTTGAAAGCAGCCCCAAGGCGCTTGAAGCACGCTACAGTTGGCGAGAACAGTCCCCACCAGCTGGGCATTTGCTATACCACCGTGGAGGTACAGGAGGGCCACTTGAAGCACTGCCACCAGTCAACGTTGACCGTCACAGCTGTAGACCGGGACGGAAATCCTTATAAATGGAGCGGGCTTGAGTTCAAGGGCGAGGTGGTACAGAAGAAGGCGTGGGCAGAGACTGCGGCAGCCAGAGCATTTCTTGAAGATTTTGAAGTTCAATGCACGGCTGCAGACATGGATCCGGCTTATCCGAGGCAGCTTTCAGCGAGCCAGAAGCGAAGGCTGCCGTTGTGGAGAGAAATCCGGCGTGCCAAGAGAGCGGCGGAGAGACAAAAAAGTCTGTGTTTTTGCAGGCAAATAATATGAGACACAGCAGCTGTGGGAAGAGAAAGGCGTCCTTGCAGGTGCTGGCATATCTGGGGTCGACCTGATAAGACTGGCTGGGCGATCCCTGCCCGCGTTCATTGGCCAATACAGTCATCTTCCAAGAAGTGCAGTGCAGCAAGATCAGGGTTTTTAGGGTTTCGAGCTTTGGGTGGTTTTATTAAAATTACAAACTTCAAACGCACACGCCCAAAGCCAACACCAGCCGAGGTGTGCCTTACGCAATGCGACGTCGGCGACAGGTTCCCTCTCAGCCGGGCTCGCGATTGTGTGTTTGGGCGTGTGTCAAGATTTGAAGATGTGACATTTGGGGATCGAATCGGGCAGTTGATGCAAATTGAAGGGAGCTGACCCGGTCTGAATCGTTTCAGTCGTCGCGAACTACTTTTATGCCAGACTAACGGTGGGCTTTAGCAACGGCCGCGTTGCAGAGTGCTCGCGGTTGTGGTGTTGTTTTTTGGTTCTCGGAGTGTTGGTCTTTGTCGATGCTGCCTTACTTGTAATTAGTCGTCATCGTGGTCCTGGTAGTCCTCGTAATCATAGACTTTAGAGTAGCAGAAGGAGTGCTAACGAAAACTCTGATTTGTTTTCTGAGATGGTGAGATGTTGTAGGAAGCCGTCAATATGTTTTTTAAAGCAAAATCTCTTGATACATTTGTTCTGGAGTGTGTCGGATTATGCAAAGCAGATCCGAAGTAAACCGCCTTTGCAGGTCGCGAGCGTTCAAGATCCCGATCACCGCGTCGCCAATCTTGATGCGCAACCGGGGCTTACGTGGTTTGTAGCAAGACCGCAAGTACCACCAGACCGTGCGAGACCCATGTGAATAGGTCGTGGTTTCGAGGAAGGTAGAGAGAGAGATAGAGAGAGCGAGAGACAGCGCGAGAGTGAGAGAGAGAGCTCGAGAGTGAGAGAGAAGACGAGTGGCGAGTGGCATAGACAAAGAGAAAGAGCGAAGGAGAGCGGGAGGGTCTGCCAAGCCTTTACGAGCCTAAAGCGTAAACAAACTGCTTCCTCACGCGGCGTAGACCCGATGACAGTGCATGAAACTGTATGTAGGTATGTAACGGTATGTATGTATGTATGTATGTACGTGCGTAGGCATGGATGGATGGATGTATGCAAATAATGCAGTGCATTGTGATGGAACGAAACGTAGTGCAGCGTAGTGTAGTGTAATGCAATGTGATGCAATGGAACACATTGCAGTGCAATGCAATGTAATCAGTGTAAGGTAATGTAATGCAAGACTGTGCGGCGCAACGTCAATGCAATGTAAATACCAACGCCAAGGTCAACATCAATACAAATGAAAAGGTATGTGTAATGTAGTGTAGTGCAATGTGATGCAGTTTGTTCATGTTAATTCTGAATGTGGTGCATTTTGTGCATGAGTGCATGTAATGTGAGGCATGGGGTATATGGACACACGCATGCATCACATGGCTGTAATGTATTTATGTCATGTATGTGTACGGTGTGCCATGTAATGTGACGCATAGGGTATATGTACATGTATGCATGCACCGCGTGACCATAATGTATGTCTGTCATGTATGTGTACGGTGTGCACTGCAAGTTTTGCATGTTGCATGTGTATTACATGCAAAGTCTGTTATGATTGTTATGTATGCCATGCCTTCAGCGTATGCTTCATGGAATGTACGTTGTATTTATGTATGCAAGGACGGATGCTGGTTTCCTGTGAGTACTTAAGTATGTAATTCCGCATATGTGCCTAGCAGCATGAGCGGTTCTTGCCATCATCATTAGCGTATCCTCGGTGCGGGGTCTTGTGGGATGACCCGTGCAAGATTCCACGGGGTTCTGCAGGGAGAGTGCGCTGGGGAAAAAAGGTGGGTTACAGTATGTGCTTGCAGAGGCTGTATTGGGGCCAGGGGACAGGGACTAAGAGTTCATCAGAGAGCTGCAAGCCCGGCTTCGTGGCACCAAGTTCCAGATTCGGTGCTTTCAACGGTTCCGAGTCTGTAGGAGGCCTTGGCTGTTTCGTTGCAATGACTTGGATTTTTTACATTCTGACAAGACCAGACCGTGAGCACGGCTCCATGGCACTTAGGGTAGATGGCGTTCGGGTATGATGGTCGCCATGAATCGGCTGTCTCGGCTCAGACACGTAGTAGTACAGAGGTTTGGTAATTCGTGTAATACTATCCCCGCAAAATAGCTTTAATAGCCCCGATATAGCTGGACGATCACATACTCCAAACCCCGAGTGGGTTCGAATAACGGTATTACTCGGACTCCAAACCCGAGTGGGCCGTCTCGAAAAATCCTTCATGGGCTGTTTCTAGCGATGGCAGAAGTAATATAGGGGCCAAGATAATTGCCTGTACTATTTTGGTGGTTCCTTATAAGAATTATAGTATATTGGGCCCCCAAGACCCAATTCTACTAACCATTAAGGCCCCTATAAGGGAACTCCAGAAAGTTGGAATATGGTTTCAGGGTAGGATACCTTATAATTTCCCATAGAAGGGTTAGGATAAAAATATTCCAACTTTCTGGCTTTTACTGTAGTACCCTGATGAATGCATTGGGGCAGCCAATCGGCCCCTGTGCCTCGGGAAGAAGTGTTTTCTTACTCCGAGGCTTCTACTTGAAGGATCATGGGACTTAGTAACTAGGGTTGTGATCAAGGTAACCATACTTATAATGACTTATAACCCCAATGAGGGTACTTATAACCTAACTTACTAAGTCCCCTGATCCTCCAAGTAAGGGCTTCTTGCTTCGAATGTTGGCTTTGGGGGTTTGCGCTTCCGGATTTCGAGTCTTCTGCAGTTCGGGAATTAGATATGGTTTGTCTAAGTTGCTGCTTCGCGGCTTACCGTGGTGTAGGTTCTGGGGGGAACAGGATTTCGATCCAGTTGATGGTGACAATTGAAGGTTAGTATAGAAGTATGGCAAGTCGTAACAATGTTGATTAGAGCTCCTTCGCGTAGTTACAGCTCATACTCCACTATGCCTGACACGTAGTGTTATCATCAAGGCCCCGACATTAAACCCTAAACCCCTAAACCCTACAGACGCTACTTCACTCCGCAGCTGGCACCCCAGAGTTGAACATAGTTGAACGCCCCAGGACTGGTATCGAACATCGAGACATATGAAAGCTTGACTAGTTACCAATGCTATTCCTCAATATTCCAGGGATTTTGAGTATGATACGGCATACCCGCCCCCCTAACAGAAAATCTTTGTTCTAATAAATGAAGGCCAAATGAAGACTTCTCAGGACAAGAGCCTGAAGGTGAATAAAGAGAACGTATGATGTTTTGCTTGATGTTCATGCAGCCTGTTGCTTTGTAGGCGAATAATGTCTAGGCCGCTGCTAGTGGATGAGGCCTGTCGTGGATGATGACTACCAGTGGTTTCAACTGTTCATGCTAAACGTAGCATGCCTATTCGGCTGCCTCTTCCTGCTACAATGTGATCCGGAAATCTTGTAGTTCTCTCTACTATATCTCGTTTCGTGCGATGCTGTCTCGGCACCTAATCTGAAATTTTGCTCTGGAAGTGTAGCCTTTCAATTTCCCTCCATATATTGACCAAGCCACGTGCGGCACAAAGTATGGAACTTTGGCTCTAAAGAATTAGGAGTAGCTCTGTCATCGTCCATAGTATATAAATATACATGTGAATATATACATCTATATATATATATATATATATATATATATAGCCAGGTATGTGCTTTTGTATGTTTGAGTTCATATTTTACCCCAGGATGCCCCCTGTCTTAGACTGCTGAAACATCCTGTACCTCCATGGGTCGTTGCGGCTGTGAAGCACAAAAGCCGTAAGCCAATTTCGTCAGAGGCGGCGAAACCCTGAACCGAAATCCGAAATATTCTTGGCATTAATGTCCTTTCCCAGTCCTCATTTCAAGTGTATCAGAATTTACAGCAACATGGAAAGGTACAGGCCTTTGCTAAAGTGTCTGCCTGTCACGCTTGTTTTGGCTTGTGATGCAGGAGCCAAGTAGCGGTCGGCACAATTAGAAATGTTGTCCCAGGAGTTTTTATTGTTTAGAGTGTTAAACTAATCGCTTCCCCCTAACATTAAACGCCCCCCCCCCCCCCACCCCCCCTTATATAAAAATTGTTTTCCGGTATTTAGTTTTAATGTTAGGGGAGTTTCGGTGCATCCACGTATGAGTGGGTCTGACAGTAATTCGCCAGCACAGTGAGACAAGTCAACAGCGAGCAATTCCTGCCAGCCCTTCCGGCAAGTCCTAAAGCTTTAGCCCTGGGCCCTCAACCCTTAAACCCTAAAGCTCTCGAGCACAGCGGTAATCTTTCGCTCAATTAAAACTCATACAATCCCAGCCCCCACCCCTAATGTTCTTAATTAACTTTCAATTGTGGACCCGAAACCGCGAAATTCCGGAGGCCGGTAGTTTTTCTATTAGGGGGGATTTGATCGTAGGGGGAAGCGACTACCGAATCTCCTTGCCTACTGTAGCTGATGAGGCCTCCATATTCCTGAATGACCGATCACCACCAAGCCCCACGTGTCTGGAAAGTTATTTTTCCGGGCCTGCCGAGACGATCACCTTCACCATCAGGGGTTTAGGGTTTAGGGCATCATCATCATCATCAACCAGCATCGTCATCACCATAATCATCGGTGTGGAGCCTCTGTCTTGAAGGCCCCAGGAAGGAATATGTAAAATTGGTTTGAATGTTTCAACAACCGTGTTGTGAGGGGGGCCTTCAACCTTCGTACACCTTCTTGGTCTTCATAACTGGAGTTGAATTCCTTGCACACGTCCTGCAAAGTCCTTCCTGACCCTTTGAGACTAAAGTCCTGCATAGGACCAAGAAGCCCAGCAAGCTAAGCCACGCGCTCTCCTATCAGGTCTGGTGCAGCCTGAACTGCTTCAAAGCTATCCATTGCCATTGGCACCCCCTGGCACAGTCCCGCATGCCCCGTGGCATTTGAGGGTACGGGGTAGGGGT